GGGGGGGGATGGGCTAAATGGGTTAGGGGCACTAAGGAATCTATTCCTGAAATCATTGTTGCACTATATGCTAACGAACTTAGATGTAAATTTAAATATTAATTAATTAATTAATTTTTAAAAATTATGATGGTTACATAACTGTATGAAGATACAAAAGCCATTTAATTATAATATATAAACAAACAGAAGTGTACCATCAAATAAATCCCATCTCTATCTAGAAAAGGGTTTGTAATAGAATCAAAACCATGATTCAAATTTGACACAGAGTCTTGAATATAAGTATGGATCAAAATGAAAATATCACAATACAGAATTAGAATACAGAATTTTATATCTGCACACACAATTACGTACACCCAATAGTTGTTCTGCTTTGTTTTAAGAGCACTTACTTTCTAAAATTTCTGCTACAGCCCCAGGATCTATTGCATTTTCAAATACCTGCAGGAAAAAAAAATGGTGAAAATAAATTTTCAAAGATTAATATATGCTTATACAAACTGTAGGTTTTATCTTTCCAAACAATTAACACATGTCAATTCCAGCCATACAGTATTTTAAAAATTCAACAGGAGTATCTTTAACGTGTATGCGGCTAAAAGTTCAACAAATGACTATAGAATGAGAATAAACGCAATACCAAGTACAAGGAAAATCTGAGTTAGCTGACTCTACCCCATGCCCAAAATGTCGTCAACTTGACCTAGTCTTATAGTTTGTTGCTAAAAGCACATCTGGCATCAACCTCAGAGTCTTGCTTGAGTACCTAGAAAAACATTCTGCGTACCACGGACACTCATTAAATGATGTTAACTGAATAAACGACTCTAACAATTGGTTGTGCTAAACAGGAACCTCAGTACAAATTCTATGTGCAACACAAAAGAAAACCTACGCACCCTCCTACAGAACAAAATAACTAGAGAGAGGGAGAGCCTCATAAGTTTAAAGTATATCATGAAGCACAAGACAAACGTTGTGGTATCTGCCTAGCCAATGCCAAATCTGCTTATTTTGTCCTTGAGCTAAAAGGGTCTGGGACAGGACTGAAATTGAAAGCACACCACACCGGTCTCCCTAAACTCTGGAAGCCTGCATGAAACCAAAGTTTTCACCAGAGGTTGGTTTCAGGCATTAATGTTCTGATTTAAGTGGTATTTAAACGTAAGCATGGTTAAAATCTGCTCTTGATCTAAAGCCAGGTCTGCTTTAACTACAAAAGTGGAGGCTATCCCCTGCAATCCGTTTTTGCCTTCCTGACCTAGATGTATCAGGGCAAATGTGGGTGAGGGTTTTTTTTCCCCCTAAAATATTTCAGTAATGGCATCCCTTCACTTCATCCATGTTTAAGGATTTTCTCAAGTATGACCCTGGGGAGTAAATTATCAACATGAACTGTTCAAACACAATGTCTCATACGTTCGTTATGAACAGTTTATTTATCCAATTGTTTTAGGGCGTTCAATTCTGGGTTACACAGAAGGTCCAGAGACGAGAAAATGATTTTGATACTTGCCGCACGCATTCGCAGCTGGAGAATAGAACAAATCCAAGAACACTAGAGCCGAATGGAGAAAGCTGGAATATGAACCCAAACCGCTCACACATGAGGGTAGTATTTCAGATTTTTAAATAGCCACATTTTATAAAAAGAAAAATGGCCCATGATACATGTTTGACCAGCAACCTTAAATGCACAGTTTTGCAAGAGAGCAGGAGGGGCATCTAGAGTATGTGTGAGTCTCTCCTTCCTTTTCTACACATCAGGGATGTTGGACTTGATGACCTCCAAGTTCATTTACAGAATTATCATTCTGTGCTTCTTTGACTTTGTACCCTTGGGTTTCTTATAAAAAGATTTCTAAAGTCTTCCACAGAAACAAACTTGATAAATTAAAAAGGAAATTCTTAGGGGAAAACACAGACTGGATTTTCACCACTCACTTCTTACCACTACTAATATCTAGTAGAAGTAGGTTGCTTTCGATTCTGACTGTATGTCCCAAGGTAATAGCCATTTATTCTTCTCCTCTCTGATCTAACCAGTTTGGTAGACTCTGTTTAAATAAACAAGCTGTAATGTACAAACATATTATCTACAGCCCTAGCCTGTTGGAAAACCAACCCTCATCTCATCGCCCATTCTCCGTTCAAAACATGTCATTTTCTGGGCAGCACCATCCAGACCTTTAAAAGTAATAGGCTCCATGCTTCCGATTCTGTGTCTCCCTCTCTCTCTGACCCTCCCCCCCATTCATGCTCTGTCTCTGTCTCAAAAATAAATAAACGTTAAAAAAAAAAAACTGAAGATAAAAGTGACAGGCTCCACCCTGGAGCCCTTCCCGGATTTGTCCCCTCTCCCAAAGAAGCAGCTCGGTGATATCATTTTGAAGGGAAATCATTAGACTCATCAAGGTTAAAACTGATTTCACCTCCAAATTCCAAAACAAAAACTTCAAAGGACCGCCAATGAGTCATAGTAATGAACTTCATATTCTAAATTGAAACGGGAAGCAGGTTGATAAATGTTCTATTAATATCATGTTCCTATTCGTAGGAATGAAACCTAGTCTTTATCGCTGTAGCTAAATAAACCAGGTATGGCCTAAGAATACTCAGTAAATCTGAAGAGGCTTGTTTTGTTACAGGATTTCAGGTACAGGGTTTTACTGATTTGAATCTAGTTTTTGGTTGTTTTTTTGTTTTGTTTTTTTTTTTT